CATATAAATTATATATACTAAATATAAATTATAACATCAAACAAAACAGAGGTCTTCTTTTCACGCTAGTCGTTGCACATTAAACCAACAGAGGGCGCTTGCGCTTTCTTTTCAAATCTACTAAAGCTCTTCAAATTCTACGTACAACTAATATCAGCCTCGCTTCTTTGGTTTGTGTGTGCGCGCGTGCGTGCATGCATGTGTGCGTGACTTCTAAACAATTCCTTTTCAAACATTAAACTCCTCCCGACTGTGTAACGCCGGGGAGCAAAACATGCAGCCCCACGCATTTTGATGACGCCATCACCAACGAGTCACAACAAACCTCAGCTGTTTGGCAGCTAACAAGCTGGCCTAGTTATACTAAGCACTGTTCGATACAGTTTGTTTTGTTTTTAAACTGTATTTATATAAATGTACGTATATTTAGTAATATGATCCGGTATAAAGCAAATTCTGTAAAATTACAGCAATGCGCAGTAATTATCTTTAAAATCTTTTGTCTTCTCTCAGCTGGCTTTTAGCAGGTTAGCTTTTTAACTAAAGACGGGAGGGAGCCACAGGGGAGTTCAATCACAAGGTAAGGACGCGACGATTGTCTCAATATTTGTACAAAACAGTCACATAATCCCCACTGTAGCCTTAATGGGTAGAAGTCTTTGAATGTGCGTCTTACTTTGACAGAAGCAAATGAGAGCAACTAATGGAGTTGTCACGGGACCTCGAGTCATGTTACAAACTTACGTGTCATTTAAATAAATTGTAATCTAACACCTCGATGAAAGTGAACACTCGTATATCGCGTTACGTGTACATTTGTTTCATTATTGTTGAGGTACTAACGTTACACTAACCTTTGTGGAAATTAGCTGGTGGGTCAGCATCTTGTGGCTAAAATTTGCATATTGTACTTAATAAGTGAAGGTGCCTTTTCTGCCTGTTACGTTGAACAACTGAAGACAACTACAATCAACGTTTTCAATCATTTTCTTTCTGTTTTTCTTTGTCTTTAAGGCTTCAACAGCCTAAAGATATTTATGGCAAAGCTAGACCACAAGATCACCTGGTGGAGATTCTGACCTCTATCAGTACCCACCAGCATCACGTCATCTGTCATCATGTCACCACGAAAAAGACCCCTGATTCCAGTAAACAGCCGGCGGAAAGCAACGGATGATTACTTCCCTTTCAACTTCCTGCCAGTGGAGTGCCAGCTGCATGTCTTGTCCTTTCTGAATGAGGTAGATAAGTGTAGTTGTGCGTTGGTTTGCCTCAGCTGGAGTTGTCTTGTCCGCTCATGGAAGCTGTGGCGGGTAGCTGACTACTCCCGTCGTGGTGTCTTCCATTTGGATCAAGAGGGGCTGCTTGTTTCCAACCGTGAGTTTGAGAGGTGGAAATCCTGGGTCCATCATTACACCCACCACCTTATCTCCCGCCGGGCAAGCCTGCTCACACTGAAGGCCAGCTTCGACCTGGGGGATCACTGCAACAAGTGGGGCGAACTGCTGAGCCACCTGCTGGATCAGGTTCACTGCAGAGACCTCAGCCACCTAGACCTCAACTGGACCTTTACTCTTCTTGAGCCACTGGACCTTAGGGTCCACTCCAGCTCCAGCTCACACCAGGACAGCATTACCAAAATGGACCAGGTAACTTGTTTTCTGATTTTATTTTCCACCATGAATCCACATTAGAATTAAATGCATGTGTTGGTGGCTCCTTATTGCAGCATGAGGTAACATAAGCACCCAGAAGTCTTGTAAGTAAGTAAACTGCTCACAGCAGACAGATTTTTGCCACTCTGGTTGGTTTCTATAATATACCAAAAAGTGCCACTTTGACTTGTAAACACTGAATACTGGTATTGTGGGGATAAAAACCTTAACTAATTCTATTCATAGCCACTTAAAAATAAAAATCACCCTAACAGTATGTATGATTGGATATGATTTGAGTGGGTGCAAAGAAGATAAATCTGCAGATTCTTGGTTAGTGAAAACTGGCCACATTTCTTCATAGCTGCATTGCAGCCCCTCTGTATGTTGATAAAACACTTCAAATTAAAATGGCATAGCCTTAAGTCTTTATTTCAAGATACCATTGTCAATAGTCAGTGGTATACACAGTGGATGGACACCATCAATTCAACACTGGAACAATATAGTGTTATAATGTGATGCTCAAACACTTGCTCAATTAATTGATTAGTCAGAAAACAAATATTCAACTTTTAATAATACATTAATTCATCAGGCATAAATGCCAAATGTAAAGAGTTTCTGCTTTAATCTGTTTTGTGTCATGTTGACTGTTTATAGACCAAATGATTAAGCATAAACATAAGCAACTGATTAACTGATAATAAAAGCACTTGTTAGTCATGGTCCTGATATACTTGAATACAAGAGCCATAGAGTGGGTTTGTTCTCTGTAGGGCCTTGAGTCTTCAGTTGTAGTTAACACTGTGTTAGAAAATGTTGCTTTGGCTATACAATAATGATTGAGGCCTTTGGACCTTTTTTCACAAAAGACATTCCTGGAAAGTAGGTCTACACCTGATCATTTGACAATTTGTTTGTTCATTTACTGTGGAAAAGTAGACAGAGAATAAGCTACAACCTTATCTTCATCAAAACAAGCCATTTTGATGAAATACAGTGTGTGCAGCTGGCTTTGAGGCAGTTGCACAGGGACTGTGTACAAAGTACAAAGATATTCAGTGGCTTAGACACATTTTTCCAAACTAACCAGTGATGCATTAAGTGATTTTGGTGAAACTAGATTGCACTAAGAGTGAATATTCTTATACTATCTCTTCTCATTGTTGTACTTTGCAGATGATTCCTGTGTCGTCTTGTTCACTGTTGTGGGTATGTCTGAATGAAGTCCTGTGGACCATAATGTAAACGTGCCCTCCTATGTCTAAATAATAGAAAGCCGTCACTTTAACAGACTGATGAAGCAGCAGTGTTATGTATGTCTGAAAAGCGCTATACTGTATAAACATGTGTTGCAGCGTGATCCAAGCCATGAACAGAAACGTAAGCATGGCAGCAAACGTTTGGGAACTGCTGTTATAAGACATTCTTGTCCATAGGAATGTGCACCTTCCACAGAGAAATCTCCAAGCACATGATGTCTTTGATTTGATTTGACAGGTGACCAGTTTCCAGGAGCTGCTGACCAAACTGACCCAGAGCTGCCCACGCATCACTAAGATGCGGTTACATTTTGACTGGTCGGATGCATCTGTGTCGCTGCTCACACAGTTCCAGCAGCTCCGAGTCCTTGAGCTCAAATACTTCTGGGTTTTTAAAGGAGTGACTCCCTCGACGCTGCAGACCCTAACCAAATCCCTGCCTAGCCTGAAGTCTTTGACATTACACATCTTGGTGCCGCTGAGGAACCTCGGCATTTCATACACTCTGGACTCTGAATCTTTGGAGTTCCTGGACGTGTCGCCAAGCCGAGGCCTAGTCTTCTCCTGTCTGAAGCTGCCTGCCCTACGTGAGCTTCGGGCCAAGAAGATTGTCCGTGGTATTACACTGGACCGGAGGACCAGGCTGAGGATTCAGAGGCGGTGGCCTTGCCTGTACCACGTCCTCCGAGAGGGGACACCAAAACTTCAGACCCTAAACAATGAGAGGCTCCTTCCCACATGGAGAGAGGAAAGCTATGTGGAGCTGTGCACCATCCTAGCACAGTCCTGTTACTGTGTTCAGCATCTAGACAGCTGGCTTTGGTAGACAACTTACTGACAATAAATGAAGTACATCTCATACTTGGTCATTGTAGGTAGATTCCAGAAGAAAGCAATATATTGCTTTTAAACACATTGTTTTCCTGATTTGAATGAACAGAGGGACACAGTTGAGGATGAGAAACTGAGACTTGATGCAAAATCAAATGATGGAAAGTTAATAAGCTTCTGTTAATTTGGAAACGCTTTCCAAAATGTTGATAAGACACCGATGTAAACCGCGCATCTAAATGTTTTTTTGTTTGTCCAGTACTTCCAAAAAGCAATAGCACTTCATGCTGATTGCACTGTGTTGTGCTGCACTGGATTCATTCCCTCTAAAGACCATTAACTACATCTCCGCCTGAGCCTGTTTAATATGAAAAGAAGACCAAATGACAAATGTAATGGCTTCTCCAAGTTGTAGAAAATGCCTTTAAACCTAGCCTGTTCAAAGAGAAAACTGACAGGAGTACTAGCTCCCACAGCTGAAGAAACAAAAAACAACCCAGAATAAAGGTAAAATATTCGGAGAAAAAAACTTGAAAAAGTTCTATTTTCAGTAGGGAAATCATAATATTTTGATGATAAAGTTAGCATTGTGGAAAAAAGTCATAATTTCAAGAAAAAATATTTTCAGTTATAATTTTGTAGGAAGTCAAGAATAAGTTCTGAATCCATCTATCCATTATCTATACCACTTAGTGTATTAGGATCTTCAATTATCAAACTTTTATTCTTGCAATATTACAACATGCATTGATATGAGCAGCATTCAATAATGAATTCAAAAGTAGTGTATTGTGCACTTGTATTTTAAAAGTACTACTATATGAACAAAAGTACAATAACATTTGGTTTGCAAACACTTCAAACAAATAAGGTGCTTTTTACACAGTAGCAGCAAATCTCAACCAATGTAATCAAGCTCATACGTGCCGTCATTCGTTGCCATCCTAATAACGTTCCTCAGACCGACATCTTCCACAGTACTAATCGGCCTGCAGTTTGTAGCTATCCACTTAGCTATGTTTATCTATACTTCTCCCACACGTTACATCCAGCGTAGTCTGCCGAAGCCTCCCTCCGCTGTTTGTTTGGGTGGGTGATTTGCTGGCATCGGCGGTGTGTATTGCATTTAAGTGATATTTCAGACTCGAAGTACTCCGGTGATAAGAAAATTCAGCTTTGCAGTGGAAACAAATGACTTTGGTTATATCAACTCCGCTGTGCGGAAGAGATTTAGATTGAAAATGTCCACGTATGAGTCCTTTACCTTTCTCCATTTTTCTGTCCCCGCCAGTTCTATTCAGTTCAAGGTCACGTGAGCGCTGCAGCGGTCTTACGCCCACCCCAAATGCTCTTATTGGTTGAGACGCGTGATGACGCCCATCTCAAGCTAGTACCGATCAACATCCCACCCCTCCTGTTACCCATGGTTTGTCTGTATGTGTATTCAGAGCCAGTGAGCAACGGACTTTCAAAATAATAATAAAAATAAACTGCGTTAATGCACAATAAAATAATTCTCGGCGTTAATAAAGTATTATGTTAACGCAAAAATAACGCGTTAACTTGCCCATATGCAAATTTTATTTCTAGAAATGTTACAATGTTTTCTCAGATTATTATGCCCTTTTTTCTTGAAAATTACAAATTTACTTTCAAAATATTGCTACTCAAAATATTTAGATTTTGCCTGAAACATTTTATGCTTTATTCTCAAAACTTTGTCATCAAAGTATGAGTTGTTGGTGTTAGTTTTCGTCGTGTGTGTTCCTGTTAAAGCAGACAGCTCATCAGTCTGTTTTCTGAGGCTTTAAAACATTTAACCTGTCTTAAAATTCATCAACTCTCCATATTTTTATAAAATATTTGCACATTTCCATTGTTGTCATGAAAGTCTCCTGTTGCTCAAATCACTGTAGCAAGTAAGTGACCAAATTTTAGATGTTTCCTTGACGGGCGGGTGAAACAGGTGACAAATTAAAGTTAAAAACTCGAATAGTGAGTAGTCTCTTCCAGGATGAGTATGAAAATGATGCCACTCATATGCTGTGGCCTTCATAGTCATCAGATCTCAACCTATGGGAGATTTTGGAGCAATGTGTTATAGACAGTGTCTCCACCACCATCGTCAAAACACCAAATGCAGGAATTTCTTTTGGAAGAATGGTGTTCATCCCTCCAGTAGAGTCCAGAGACTTGTGGTGTCAATGCCAAGGTGCACTGAACTGTAAATGGTCTTGTACTATTGTAGTGCTTTTCTACATAGTTAAGTACATTCAAAGTGCTTTACACTATTCGCCCATTCATCCCATTCACACACTGAGGGCAGTGGCTGCTGGGAGCAACTTGGGGTTTAGTGTGTTGCTCGAGGATACCTCATCATGGGGACTGAAAAAGCCGGGGATGTATGTAACAGTTGTGAAATTTGATTGTCTTTTTTACAGTGAGCCTCAACTGGTTGCTTCTGGTTCAGAGTAGTGAAATCTGTACTTTTGTAATTATCCTCTTAATCAGTAGAGGTCGTTACTCTCAAAGAATTGGCCATAAAGATTTCTCACCCAAATGTCTCACAACAGAAATATGGTTGTGTTCATAATTGCACTAAGGTCTTTGAAGCCAGGGGACTCTGATCATTTCACTCCAGTATTTGTGCTTGTGTGTTGTAAGAGCAGATGTGAACGTGAGGATGTCTGTGCTCTTCAGAATAAATCAATATACAGTGGGTACGGAAAGTATTCAGACCCCCTTAAATTTTTCACTCTTTGTTATATTGCAGCCATATGCTAAAATACTTATGACCATGTGATATTTCAGTTTTTCTTTTTTAATAAATCTGCAAAATTGTCAAAAATTCTGTGTTTTTCTGTCAATATGGGGTGATGTGTGTACATTAATGAGGAAAAAAATGAACTTAAATGATTTTAGCATATGGCTGCAATATAACAGAGTGAAAAATTCAAGGGGGTCTGAATACTTTCTGTACCCACTGTATGTGTGAGATATAGTGGAAAAGATTATTTCTAAATAATTGTAGGTTATCCTGTCTCTGTTGTCATTGGTAAACATTGGTAAACATGTGTGTACTTGTATGGTTGTACATTATGAGGGCCAGTTTGAATTTAAGACCATGACAGTGAGGACTTTGTGGCCAGTCACTCTTTCTGACACAACTTCCAAGTGCTGTTTGAGGGTTAAGGTGTGTGTGTGTGTGTGTATGTAATTGGCCAGCACTGTGTGGACTGGTTTGAGGTTTGCACCACAGGAGTGAGGAAATGTTGGCTGGTCCTCAGTTTTTCACGCCCCTTCAAATGGCTGTTTGAGGGTTAAGACTTGGTTTCAGGGTTCAAGTTAGAATTGGGGTTGGGGTAAGGGTTAGGGAACGCTTTATATCTGAGTGTCCTCACAAAGATAGCTTTACAAACGTGTCTGTGTGTGCACACGCACACACGCACATCCCTGGTATTACTTACATTGCGGGGAGTTGGCCAGATGCTGATTCTTACCATGTAAATCATTTAATCTTAGAGTAACTACTTAGTTTAATGTTGGGGTGAGAGCTAATTAGGCACGTACAGTAAGCATTTAAGGTTAGATTAAGGGGCTAGGGAATGCATTATATCAATTAGTGCCCTCACAAAGATAGAAGTACGTGTGTGTGTGTGTGTGTGTGTGTGTGTGTGTGTGTGTGTGTGTGTGACTGATGGCGGCTCTGATCCAAGAACACACTTCTTGCTGTCTAAGGAATGAATCCTTTCTGAAAACAATTTGCACATGCACAGTGTTTGAGTATTTGTTCCTGACATAGATTTTAACATCTGGTCCATAATAAGTAGAACATTTTATTATGTAAACACACCAGAGAATTGTTTTTGTGGTTTTTATTTGCTTTGCCCCACTTGCTCGCTCCATGACTAAATGGATAGAATTCACCATGACTTTTTTTTTTTTTTTTTTTACATGCATGATATGAAAAGGTGCTCTCACAAGTCTCATTAATATCACTTCCCTACTAGGCCATAAATCAGACATAATGAATAATGTAAAACAGGAATGGGGCCTCCACCTGGCTCTGTCTCACTGTGATTTGCCTTCATTGTTGTATGATCTTACTATTTCAGTATATCTGGGCTGGTTTGATATCCTTGACCCTCCAACAATAACATCTGTTCTCAGTACAAATAATTCCCTCATGCAGCTCAGGCCCTGTTTTCCTACGCTGTTCCCATATTGCCTATTTGTCACCATGTGTTTCCCCTCCTGAGGTGTGGAATATGTTTGTGTGTGTGATGGTCATGGTTCCCTGATGCTGGGGTTTTCCAGCCAATTCAGTGATTTTCTGTTCTCCACCTCTTTTTTTCCTCCTCTTTTATCCAGCTCACACAGCACTCCTCTCTTCATATACTTCTCATTTGTTTCTTGTTTGGAAGCCATCATTTAATATGGTTTTACCTGACCGTGGAAGGCAGCAGTTAGAGGAACGGACGCTACAACTTGGAACTCTGAGCACACTGTGGTTTTATGTTCTTAAGGATTTTCTTCATGAGCAGCTCTTGTATCCAGCAAGAAGTTCTGACTGATTTGAGCAGTGTGTGTTATGTTCACAGAAAGGGACTGCGAGGAAGTGTGTGCTGATGAGATGGAGAGTCCAGCATGAGGATAAGATGTTCCTTGAGGTTTAACCCAACCCTTCTATTAGTGGCAAAAACACAGTAACCACCTCCAGATGTTGGCGAGCACAATTTGACTGATTATTTACAACAAGAGCAATGACCCTTGTCCCCTTCACACTATATAACACTTACTCTTTGGTCTTTCTGTAATGCCTAAGTTAATGCTTAATCTAAGTACAGGCCCTTAATTGCTAAGGCCAAGCCCTGTTTATGGGAGGGAGGTTACTTGGATATGTTCAAATCAGTCATTGCAGTTAGGAGGCATACAGGCTCAGGGACTCACCAGACTCATCTCTACCAGTCAAGCAACAAGACCTAGAAGACAAAAGAAAGGAAGCAGCCAACATGCCGAAAGAGTCCTTCATATTCAAGGCTGTTGCCACCACCTTTGTCATTCTGACCATCTCTGTCATTGCCGGCATTGTCACTATGATCATTTTCTACAAAACTCAGATCTCCACAGTGAAGCCAACACCTCGTCCGACCTTCCCGTCCACCACCACAGGACCACCACCTGTCATGCGGCTGCCAAGGAACCTCATACCTGATAGTTACACAGTCTTCCTTCAGCCTGACTTCTACACCCGAATCATTGAGGTGGAAAACGTCACCAGTCCAAACCAGACGATGCTCTTCACCGGAAACTCTACTGTTAACTTTCACTGTGTCCAGAGGACTAGCACCATCTACCTCCACAGTACTGAGCTGGACGTAGATGGTGCAGTGGTGAAGAACAGAGACACAAATAAGAAGATGGATGTTGGGGAAATAAAACACAAAGATGAAAGTTCCTTTCTTGAGGTCCCGTTGGAGGAAACGTTAGAGGCAGGAAGAAACTACAGTTTGTTTCTGAATTTCAAGGGAAAAATGTCAAAAAATCTTGATGGCCTTTATGTAAGCTCATATGTTGAAGGTTCCCCAGCTTATGAAGGTGATGAAAATGCAGAGAGGTAAGGAAAACAGTTAAACAAATTTAAACAGTTAAAGATTTAAACCTCTTAGGTTTCTGTGTGTAGAACTTGTGATTATGGCATCTTTATAAGGACTCTGATGTCATACATGTTGGTAGTGTCAGACTTCTATAGATTAAGCCACTTGTTGTATTCTCTAACATCAATCCTCTACTACAGTGGAGTCAAACTAAGGCAGTTTCACAGAAAGGTAAAGAACCTCATGCTGGTAAGGACTGCTGTTGAAATAGTAAGGATTCTGGTCTGACATACAAAACAACAAAATGTCTGTGCAGTTATGATCCATATCTAGCTTTTGTTTTCAGATGTATTTGGCTAGTCTCTGATAATCCATCAACAAACCTGCAATTCATGAGTTTTTGCTTTGTAATCTGCAGCACAAGGAAGGTTATTTAAAATAATACTACACATTACTCATTTATAAATTGTTTTTTTTACTAACTGCCCAGCAGCAAATGTAATTGCTTACATTATATTTTCATTTCATTCATTGTCATTACTCAGTCATTACTATTGCTAATATTCATTACTAGCCCACAAGGAGTTTTGAGACAACTACTACTGTTCTGATGGTATTTCCAAAATCCTCAAAGACTCTTATGCTCATCTGGATGAAAAAAATATTCCAGATTAAAAGATTTGTAACCAGTTGGTCCTCTGTTTCAGAATCAAAGCAAAGATGGCAGCCCACCTGTATACGTAAAAAAATCATAACCTGGGAATTGGGTTAAAATGTTTTTAATATTCAGAGGATAAAATTATTTTTATTCATATGGCTAGAAGGATCTTGAAAATATTCTCTAACTATCGCTTAGAGAATCTGATGGTTACCACTGTGACCTGAAAAAAATGCTAATACATGAAGGGCAAAACTCTCTCAACATCTCTGTAAACAACTCAACAGCCTCCAAACCCACATTCTGTATGTCATCTTATGACCATCAACAGCCATTAGCTGTGGCAGCTGCAAACAGTCACAATTCAGAAGTCCCATCTTCACATCCATCTCTGAACAACACCAGGTGATCCCTGAATGGAGGCTTACCAGTGGTTAATGTTAGCAAATCACATCCTCACACCTCCAGCCCCTGCACACGTCCACCATTGAACGTGGAGAGACTAAACTGATATCAATCCTGTATCTAACTCCTGTTCAAACATAGAACACAAGAAAACAAAGGAGACAGCAAATGTTCACTGAGCCATAAATAACAGGCTTTTTTTGTTTGCAGTTTTTATTCAAAACCAACAGTCTGTGAAGTTGTTGGTGATGGTTTTAAAGTACAACATAAGATAAAAGCTAAAAAAAACATCTGCCTTTATGGTATAAAACAAGAATGCACCTCTGTGCTCAATATAAAATCAGTCTAATCATTTACATAGTTACTAAGAGATGGTATTAATTTTTTGTTAAAATTCCACTCCAGACATTTTCCTATTCATATTTGCATATAAATGCTCTGCTATAAACAATATATAGTCTAAAACAGTTGGTTTTTTTTCTCAAAAAAGTTCTGTGAACCTCTGTGATAGGCCTCAATATTTGCCCCTTGTGTATTTCTGGGTTTATTTCAAATATATCCAAATGTGACTACAGCACCCCCTACTACCCCCCCATCAGCCCGATGACTCACATCAGGATGATGTACAGGAGTGAAAACTGAAGAGGGTTACCAGTTTATGTTTAAGCTAGTACGGGGAGGTTAGATTCTTTGTTACGCCAAAATAAATCAAGCTTTCGAGTTTTTCAGTACCCCAGTACATGATGGCCAGACAAGCTGTGTGCTGGCTGGTATCAAGTGGAGGTGAAGAATTTTTATGGAGCGAAGTCATGCACAGCTGGTGTGGTATCAGCAGATATGGAACTGTGGAGAGAGAGCGAGTTTAACTGCTTCTTTTGTGCCAGTCATGCTAAAGATACAGTATGTCACCTGTTTTGGAACTATAACCACACCAAAAGACTTTGGAAAGATGTCATGAACATTATCTTCAACATATACTCATGGACCTCCCTCAGATTTGAGAATGTTATCCTGGGTTACACAGTTTTTGAAAAAGAAAGCTGTGGCTCCTCTTATGTCATAAACCTCATCATGGTTCTAGTTAAATACTATATACATAAGTGCAAATTTAATGGTAACAAACCCATGTTTTGTGTCTTTATGAAAAATTATAGTGAAATAATCTCTTCATCCAAGAACAAAAGGCTAAGAAAACTATTTAGTTCACAGATACAACCTTATTTTGTATTTATTTATTTATTTATTTTGTGCTTGTATGTTTGGATTCCCCTCTGGCATGTCATATGTTTTTATTGTACTGTACAATTGTTCCTTGTTCTCTGACAATTGTATATTATAACTGTTCAATAAAATTAAGAGAAAAGAAAGAGAGAGCAAGTTTAATAGGAGAGCTCATACTAGCATCAGCAGAACAACTTTGAATGAGAGCCTGTAGTTGTTTGAATAGGCACACGGAAAGTGTCAAGGGAGTGTCAAAGTTATTTATCATAAGTTCTTTATGAAATCAAAAATCACTTTCTCATATATATGCATATATTTTAAGTTGTATTTCTTCAGTATACACCTGATAATGAAAGGCTCACTGTCTTTATTTGTATTCACAGATTCCTTGCCACCACCAATATGGAGCCAACAGAGGCCAGGAGAGTGTTTCCTTGTTTCGATGAGCCAGAAATGAAGGCTGTGTTTCATGTGACCATAATCCACAGACATGGCACAACAGCTCTAGCAAATGCAAAAATGAAAGGTGAAAATCAGTCTTCTGTGAAAATGACAATGTGTACAATATGCTGTAACTTGTATGTGTGTGTGTTTACTGGACTTCTGGTCATATACTTCTGGTCCTTATTTTGGTCTGCCCTTTTGTCACTCTCCACTTTTTCAGATTCCAGTATTATAGATGATGACTGGACAGTTACTATTTTCGATCCAACACAGAGGATGTCTACATACTTGTTTGCCTTCACAGTTTCAGAGTTCAAATCAATCAACTCCCCACATGAACGTGTGGAAATTAAAGTATGTGAGCTACTGTAAATTCAGCATGAATTTAATGTCACTGCTTTGGTATGGTCTTGACCTCGGCTACTTTGATTGTAATTTTTGCCAGTAAACTTTAATTTTCTTCTAAAGAAAAATTATCAAAAATTCACTGGCAAAATTTACATCTGCCATAAGTTTGGTAGGGGTTCAGTGCCATACATCAAAATACCATTCAGCACCATGAACCAAAATGATGCAATAACCAGGCTACACCATTTTTATGCTTCCCTGACCTTTTCCTTTTGAGATATGTTACCTTTCTTATGCCATGCTTATTTTTGTGATCAAGCTGGAGTGTCCTTTTTCTTACCTCTGTGTCTTTCTCATGTAGACTTTTGCTCGTCCTGAGGCCACTACAGCAGGACACACTGAATATGCAGCCAGCATCACTGGAAAGATTCTCGAGTTCTATGAGAATTATTTTGATATTAATTACTCACTAAAAAAGCTAGGTATGTGTGTGCCTGTGGTACATATATCTGAATGAATGTATTGATAGATGGAAATAAAAAATGTCACTGTTAAAAAGAACATTTCATTCTGTGGTGACAATGCTAGCTAACTAGCTTACCATAGCTAGCTTTATAGTTATACAGTATGTCATTAAAGTATGCACTGTAGACTTTAGCATTTCACCCCACAGAATGTTATTGTTGGCAGTGGAGAGAATGCTATTTAGGCATTCACGCTGGGAAATAAAATGTCCGGAATAATACTGGGTGTCAGTCAAAAACATTTACAAATACTATTAGTTTATTTTTGTGAAATGTTTTTTGGAAAACTAAACACACAATAATAAGACAGTGTTGTAGGCTATATTGCACAGTTTTGTAAAGGCTTTGGCAGGGTAACAGTTTCCCCCCGGTTTTTAGTTGTAGTTAGCTTAACTATCAAAAAGATTAGTTCTACCTCCAGAGCAACTCTGCTGTTCTGAAAGAGGTACTGGTATAGTACAGCCTAACTAAGCCTACATTTTTGCCTATGCAAATTTATATATATAAATTAATTTGTCCATATCTTTGCAAACCCTGTAGACCAAATTGCAGTGCCAGACTTATATCCTCTAGCAATGGAAAATTGGGGATTGGTCACATACCAGGAAGGAAGTCTGCTCTACGAAGAAGGCGTGTCCTCATTGTTGCACAAGGAAGACATTGCTACTGTCATTGCACATGAACTTGCACATCAGGTCAGACTGACGAAAGTTTTTTGTTTTTCCTCCAATAAAAACAAAAATAATATGAGATCAGCTTTTGTGGATGAAATATATGAGTTCAATGTTTATCTGTGTGTAGATTCAGGAGGATTTTCAGACTGAGTTTATCACAGGATGTAGAGGAAATGTACTTTAAATGTACAGTGCTGCCATACCTGGCAATGCATTTGTTTTAAAAGGCATCACATGACACAGTTCTTCATGTATCCACTTATCCGTACACTGATAAGACAAAACATTATGAGCACCTGTTGGTTGGTACTCATGTCACTCTAAGGCTCACAGTGCATCTTGTGTGAATTTGTTTGTTACTATAGTTATACTGTCTGAAATAGCATGACTTTGTCTAATGTTTATTGATAAAATATATATGTAAAAGGAGTGAAAACTGTGATCATGGGGACAATTTAGAGTTAATGTTTTAGACAAATTCAGCAGCCTCCTCACTGTAGGTGTGATATCACCGCTATAGCTGCTGATTGTCTCTTTGTTACTTTACCAATGTAAAGTATTTCTCATTATTTAACAAAGGTTCAAACAAAATGGAATCTTTTGAAAAGTATAAATGGAATTTTAAAACTTTTTTTTAAATTGAAACAAAGTAACACAAAACAGTACCAAACATGGGAGACAAGACAACAGTTACATGACATTACAAAAGGATATAGTGTTTTACAAGATTGCAGTGTGTGAAGTGTGGGTACTTCCAACTTATGCAGTCTATGAAATGCAAGAAAGGGAAAAGGAGGGAAAATAAATAAATAAATAATTACTAATAATAATGATGATAACAGTACTACTAATAAAATCAGCTTGTTAAATTTTTAGAGGTTGGTGGGAATGTGTTTGGTTCAAGTTGAAATGTGTTAAAAATGGTTCCATGTGTCATAAAAAGCTGATAAACTATTCTTGTGAGTGGATGCCATATTTTCTAATGTGATGTATTCTGTCAAAAGGTTGGTCCAGTGGTTTATGTGTAGGGATTTTTTTGATTTCCAGTTTTGAAAGATTGTTTTCTTGGCAATAGCTAAAGAAATGAGGAGTGGGTTTTTGTATTTAATTGGTAGGTGGTCAACGTCTGTGATATTACTGCTGATATTGTGCAGCACTTTGTGCTCCCCGGAGTTGTAAAGTGCTATATAAATAAAGCTTTATTATCATTATTATTATTATTATTATTATTAATATTATTATTCTGGTTTCCCCCACTGTTTTTTGGCAAGTAATAACTCCAGCATACTTACAGCTAGTGCTGGTCATGGACAAGATGTTATTGCAAATTTCTGTCCACGAGTCAGAGTTGAGGGACAGAGTTAAATCGTTTTCCCATTTGAGTTTTGGTATTTGTTATTGTTGAGTCTGTATTTGATATGAGTTTATATAGCTTGGATATTATTTTCTTGGAGGATGTAATTTTCATAATTTCTTCAATTAATTTGGAAGGCTGTAGTGGGTTATTGGTTACACTAATCTTTGACTTAATTATGGATTTTAGGTGATTGTACTGGAGGAACTGTTCTCTCTGAACTCCGTACTTCTGGATCAGTGTATTAAATGATATGAACTGGTTATTTTTAAATAGGTGATGTAAGTGAGTGATTCCTTTGTGTTGCCATGCTGGGAAATATAAAGTGTTATTATGCAGTTTGAAATCAGGGTTGTGCCAAGTTGGAGTGTATCTACATGCAAGTGATGATTTAGTGATTTTGTTTGCTTTCCACCAGGCTGTCAGAGTTGAGAGGATTGTGATGTTCTTACAGTAATTCATTTTCTTAATAGAGTTTGGTAGAAAAGGAAGGCCTGCAACTGAGTTATTTGAGTTATCTTTGGAGTAATTTTGCTCTAATTCTATCCATACACTGTTGTAGCTGTCCTTCTGAATCAATTTGATTAAATACTGTAGTTGATTTGCCAAGTAGTAATATTGGAAATTTGGTGCTTCTAGGCCACCTAGTGATTTCTTCTTTTCGAGTGTAGATAGAGAAATTTTGGGTTTCTTGTTTTTCCAATAAAATTGTGAAGTTATAGAATCAAGCAATTTAAACCATTTATCTGTGGGTGTTGTGGGAAGCATTGTAAACAGATAGTTGATTTGAGGTAGGGTTTTCATTTTGACAGTAGCTATTCGACC